TTTTGCACATTTATTGTAAGAAGTAAAGTAAAACAAAGTGCATATTTCCTATTATTTTTTTATGCGTTTCTCTACTAGAAAAAGTAGTTAGATAAACATTTAAATATTATATGACAAAGGATTAACTATATATTTTATTTTTAAGAGTTTAAGTTTTTATTATATTTCGAATTCCAATCTCAACTTCATAAAGAAACAGTTAGAGGACAGTATATTAATGATTTTCTTAAAACAATACTTTTGCGTATGTAAACTTTCTAAACAGCCCACTTTTATGCAATAAAATCATGTTTAATAAAAAAAATTATTTAGTATGTAGGCAAAAGTAGAATTATAAACTATGTATAATAAACAATGTGTATGCAAATGTATTGATAATAAAAATGCAATAAATATATTTAGAATAAAATGCATGTATAATAAATGTATAATTAATAAAAAACGAATAATAAATGTATGTGAACATGTACTGAAGAATTAAATTCATATCCATATGCCTACTCTTAGCTTATCTTTAAAAAAACTTACTAATTTCATTGATATAACATATGTAAACTTTGAGATTTCAATTTTGAAATCAACATAAAAAAATCTAAGTCAATAGAAAAAGTTCTCTTAAAGGAATGTTTGATATAAGACGTGATAATGGTTCTAGCATTAAAAATTATGCACTTCAGTGGATAGACGCTGTAGTTTATTCTTTTGGTCAAGAACAAATCGGGGTCATATTGTATTGTTTAGTTAAATTCACGGCATTTCTAAACAAAACTTTGCTTTACGACGTTCTTTTGTTTTTAAATGATTTCAAGACTCTTTTGTTTTAAAACTATTTTTATTCAATAGACATTTGAGTTATAAAAACGTTTTTTAATCAAACTTATTCCCTATATTAAGATTTATACCCTATCAAACATAATGGATATTAGAACAGTTGAGATGTTTCGCTACGTTTTTAATAATATTTCCTTTTGGGATAAGACAGGATGGGAAAAAACATTCGTAAAAAATGTAGTGATTTTATAAAAAGGATTTTTTTACTGGATGGAGTAATCAGCCCCGTGCATAACCTACAATCTGGAGGACCCGAGTTTTACTCTTTGTCTTACCAATGACCTACACGACTTAGGAGACTTTTCCAGTAGCAACGTTGCAGCCGACATAGCTTAATGGGTCCTGGACACACGTAAGCCCACCTAACTAGCTTGGCTCACCCTGGGATGTAGTGACAAATATGATGGTTATGATAGAAAAAGGTCTTGAATGTAATACTCTGTTTGGAAATTATATTAAATTCTATTTAAACAATGAACATTTTAATTCAATTTTGCAAAATCCAAGATAAATAGTTTATGTTCAGTTCTCTAGCAATAATCTTTGTTACAATGCCTTACTATCAGTAAAGCGTATTCAATTGGATGGGTTGAAAAGTCGGAGTATCTAATATCTCTCAGTGGTATAGTGCAGAAATATTAGAGACTGCTATCATCAAAAAAGTGTATAGAAACTTTAGAACTGAAACGGATATCTTCTTCAACCTTTATTGATCAAAAATTGTTAAAAATGGCTAAAAATTCTTGAAGTTGAAACAAATAATAAATCTTTTCGATCGGTTTTCGGCAGTACTAAAAAGTTACCATTTCTTAACAAGAATATCTGCACAAAAGTTTGGAATTATAACTTCGTTTTAAAGGCAAAGATCGGATTAATAAATTTTGGCAGCAGAAGATATCGTTTCAGAAGATTCAATTCTGCTTCCTCAATGAACCAATCCGAATTCTGGTTGAGGTTGCAGAAGATATTAAGTTATAGCTGTAAAATTTTGAACAAATATTCCTGTAAAGAAACAGTAACTTTTAAGCGCTAACGCAAGTAAATTGACAAAATCTGTGATTTTTTAAAAAAAATTTCAAGTATTTTTAGTCAAATAGTATTTAGAGTCACAATTTTTGACCCATTAACCCATTTGACCCATTTGCAGCAAAAAATATCAATTCTGCGTATTCACTGCACAAAATATCAATTCAAGTAATATTCTGCACATATCTAAATAACGTTAGTTGAGAATTTTTATTCACAATCGCTAGAAGAGCTCAGATAATCCTCCTTATCCAATTTGATTAAGCATTTAGCTTCATTTCATTCAAATTTCAATAGCAAAAAAACGCTGATCCAAATAGTTATTAAATTATGTCTGAAAAAAATAATTACATCTTAATAATAATGCATTTATTGATAAAAAAAACTTTTTAAATTGACTTAAAGAGTATAAATTTAAAAGCATGCGAATACGTATATTTTTTAATTTTATTGTGAGTTAATTTTAAATTAAAGTCTGTACAATCAGTTTTTTTCTCTATAAAACAGAGTCGGGAGTAACGGAAGCATGAGAAAAACTTCTTTACTCAATCTAATTTATTTAACTTAACCCACTAAAGATTGTATTTTTTTGTATGCCATGGCGCAAAAAAAGAAATTATTTTTTTAACTAAATGAATATTTTCTTCTGTTAGCTACTATTTGATTTTTGAAAAGGATAAAAAAACATTTGCTTGATACGAAAACAGTCCCTATTCAAATCAGAAGAATTCTAATAGAATTCTCACAATATATGTATCGCTAGAACAAGAGGGAATTTAAGCAACCAAACAAACTTAATTCACTTTATTTGCATAAACCTATAAAAAAACTCAAGATTAACTTCCTTAATACAGAGAACATTTAAAAGCACGATATTAAAAACTTAATCATTGATTTTATTGTTCTATTTAAAGGAAGATGTTGAACAATACTTTAAAACAGCTTTAATTTCTTAGCTTATTTTATTTTAATAGCTATTTTTGACAGTGAAAAATAACAACGTAAACAAAGCATCGATTTCTAGGTTTTATAAAAATTATGGCAAATGCAAAAATTATAGCATACACACGTGGAGAATTTTGTGTCACTATTATGGATATCCCTCAACGTTAGAGCAAAATTATCTCTTTAGTTCAAGAGAATGATTTCCCGGTAGTTATTTTCACCCTACGTCATTTAAGAGGAAGACATGGGCATGGCGGTAAAGAGCACTATACAAAGTAGGAGGGTTATAGTTCATTGGTTTCAACCGTAACAAAAATAGCCGTCGTAAACTAAAAATTAAATTTAGCTTCTTAATCTTCTTTATTTCACTAGATTTAAACAGCTCTGAGTAATTTTTGGACAAATATTTAAAGTTATAATTATTGATTTATCTACTTCACGGAAAAATTTAGGCAAACTTTAAAATACTTAACTAAAAAATCGTATTTAAAAACTTGCATATTGTATTCCTTGCCATGGGAAAAAAAGTATGAGCTCAAAAGGTTGAGGTGTTTTACAAATAAAAAAGTGAAAGCTTTTAAAATTTTAATTCTTAATAAAAGAAAAAATTTATTAATCGCATTTTAAAAAAATACCGTGAGGACTAAGTTAAAATACTATTATAAGTTACTAACTAAATTGTTAAAATCTTAATTTTTAATAAAAGAAATAATATATAAATTGCATTTAAAAAAAACTGTGAAGTCTAAGTTATAATATAAAGTTATAAGTTAAAAACTAAAATGTAATACTATAATAACTGGGATAATTTGAAAATGAACTGAATTAATAACCTTTTTTAAGGAATTTTTTTATGATGGTGCTATATATAATATTTCTAATCCCTTTTTAATCAGTGCTTTTCTTTAGTTAAAAATAGAAACTCAGTTTTGTATTGTATCGTATTACTCAATTTAAATTTGTAATGGTTGTTTTAATTGTGTAAATCAAGTTTTTGTTTAAACATTTATTCATGCAAATCCTCATTAAAAATTTTAACGATGCTAATCTTAAAAATTTCTTAAAGTTTTCAACTTGAAATTTTTTTTTTTGAGGTACTTAGATTTCTTTAAAGAAGGAGATTATAGAAAATAGGTTGCTCACCTTTCCTCACATTTAACTGCGAGATCCTGCTAGAGGTCACGACACACAGTTTAAGAAGCTATGATATAAATTATTTAGTTTGGGGTTAATAGACCGTTTGTCCTGGGTTTCAAAATGTCAGGACTATAAAGGACCCTACGCCGGTGATATTCAAATAAATTCTTTTTAATAATTATAAAAATTTTAATTTACTTTAAATTTAATTTTTATAACTTAAATATTGAGAATTCGAAAGCCTTGTTTTCTATCATATAGGTAAAATAGAAATGAAAGCATCTTAAAGGGCACGCACAAAAACTGTTCATATTTCAAAATTGTGGAATAAGAAAAAGAGATATATTGAAACATTTTTGAATAATTATTTAAGCGGGGCTGTTAAACGCTTAACTCCAAATATTTGTCTCAAGCATTGTTTACATAAAAAGGAAATAATTGTGTCAAATTTAAAGAAGAAAAAACAAGGAAAAATTTTAAATTGTTCGCATTTAGGAATGGAATTTGAAAAAAAAAGAAAATATTCAATATCAATATATAATCTACAATATTCAATATGTAATCTGTAATCCAATAAGGGAATCGTTGAAAGAGAATTGGACATTGTTCATTTCTGGAAGAGGCGTATTTACTTGTTGAAAAATATTTTTTTTAAAATAAAGTCATTATCTTATAATAAATCCGAAAAATTTTAAAGGCCTAAATGCTACTGTGATAACAAATCAACTATACATACAATATTCCTGCTTCTATTTCAACGAAATATCTAAAAAGTTTTAATTGAAATTTTATTTATAAAATGTTTAAATGTGTAATATTAAATACTCTTATTAAAATTAATTAATAACTTTTATCTATTAACATCATAATTATCAATAAAATGAATTATCAACTTTTTTCGATTCACATTATAACTCTCTACAATGTTAGTACGTTTTTGTTTGTCCTACTTCTCAATTCCATTAAAAACACAAACACGTGTTTTTTTAGAACGTCTCCTAACTTCCAAGGACAATAACCGGTAAGGATTTTGACACAGATAAAACTCAAAATCTACGTACCTTCAACATGAATGTATACCTCACATTAAGGAACACCTTATTATCACAGCTCGATAATCCACATTAAGGTAAAATTTTATTCCATGTTTTAATCGAAATCGTTTGCGAATCGAAAAGAACAGTTGCTTTCACCGAATGTCCTCTCAACTCCACAAGCACACTGGCGTTAACCGTTCAGCACAACCACCTTAGCTGTTCTGAATCGAAACTGAAGAAAACCCATTCGTCTCAAAAAGACTGGTAGATCTGGTCAGGGGCAGCAAAAGGTTGATTTTTTTTCTAATTATTTTTTCTCCTACTTTTGTCTAACTTCTTGAACCGTGGTATAAACCGGTATTAGATTTAATCCGACTGCCTCCAATGCTCTTTTTTTGAAAGACTTTGTTTTCTTTGTTTCTTGTTTATTCTCGCTTTCTGGCCTACTTTCCGAATACCGCGCGAAGTATGAAATATTCGAAATTGCAAGCAATCATCATGGATTAGTGGCTTCAAGATAAATGTTAGGTGTAATAGAAATATCTTCATCTCGGCTGAAATCATTGTTCTTGTTACGTAAATGTGAAATAATTTCGTTCGTAATGTTATTATTATAATTTATTAATATTTTACTACTTGTTTAGATACTTTTTTATAAATAAAATAAAAACGACGTGTCTTTGAATGATCGTATCAAGGAAGAAAAGTACAAATTATACTTTATGAAAATTTTCTTATAATTTTTCTTTCTAATTTGTGCACCAAGGGTTACTGAACTTGTCAATCTGAGCATGTGTGTTGTTTATGGTAAAACAAGAAGAAGAGCATATACTCGAAATCAGAATATTTTAGGTAGTTTGATTTACTAATGCTGAACAGTGGGATATATGCGAAGGTCTGGAAAACATCCCTGAGGATGATCCGAAGACATGTCATCATGTCATCACAAATGAGAGGTGCAGAGGTGATCTAATTTGTGAGGTCACTTCCTTAATTTAGTAATTCTTAATTTAATTTAATAGATCTAAAGGGGAAGGGAATTTTATCCAGATCCTCGTACCAATGGTACAGATCAGCGACCGACTACAAGGCTTTCGACTCCACGAATTTTACGAGCGCGTATATGGCATGTACTCGGTGGATCCTAGCGGAGTCGAGGATATAAACCCGGCCCCTCCAGATCGGAGTCCGATTTTTGAACCACTTGGCTACCAAGGCCCCTAAAGTCGGAGTAAATACCTCTGGTCGTTTGCACAAATATAGCAAAATTTTCAAGAAAGCTTTAAGAAAAAATATTGAATTTATTTGTTTGAAAATTATTCTTAAATAAGCTGCAATATGTTTTGTTAAGAATGTAGTACACAGTTTTTAATATATAGAAAGTATTTTTGATCTAGTAAAAAAAAATGATAAAATATTTTTGGAAGTTTTATATAGCATTTTTTTTAAAATTAAAAGCAAAAATATATTAATAAGCTTAAAATATATTCGCTTTATTAAAACTGTTTAGTACATTTTCTAGAAAATAGTAAAGAAACAATACTATAGAAGTGTGAGAACACACCTCAGTCTCAAACTCACTATACTGGTGACAATTTGGCAACGAACTCCTGACTCATTGAAAACTATGGAAATCGCTGGTGGAAAGATCTACGAACTTACAACCCTACTTTGTAATTGTTCAATGGATTCAGCATATTTTTATTATGCATTGTTACATATACATAAGGAGGTGCTCATTTTAAAGAGCGACTTGAGGCTTATGACAAGTTGAAGAACAGATAGCGCAAGTTAGGGAATGACATCACAACGATACATCCGGGTTACGGTGGGATTCGAGAACACTGCCATTCAAAATATAATCTATCGATTGAATTTATGAAGAAGACGAAAAGTTAACTGTTAACTGAAGTTTCAAAATCAGCATGTTTTTATTTAATTTGGTTGTTGAGTTTCACTAATGTACATTTGACGACAATTTCGGATTTGTCATTTCATGATTCGAAAAACTGGATTATGCATGCTCTATACCACAATTTAGCTCGGAGGGTAAATGGTAACCATCTGGTATCCGAACCAAGCTGCGCAACCACTCAACCGTGTTTAAACTTTACCAACTCTTAAGCCTCGAGGACATTATATTTTATTTTCTAACCATAGTTTAACAGCTGACCCTATTTTGGGTTCGGGACTACCAATGTTCAACTTCGTAACTTTGTAATCTTGAACCCAACACAGAGGACAAGGATACTCCTGGATTAAGTATTGGGAGAAATGCACCTTCATGGAGGACTTAGGAGGCAATTTGACAAAGGGACAAAGTGTTTTTTTTTTACTTTTCGGAGAAACGTAAATAATTTCCATGCCAATCCAATTGACACCAATGATGCTTAGTTTATTTTGGAAATAGATATTAACTGAAATAGGTTTTCTTACAGTCCTTCGAAAGCGATAAATACCGGAGAAAATTGCTAGATCGCGGTAAATTTTGACTATCATAAGTTAACCTCGGACAACAGTATCATGCCAAACGATACTCAATGCAGTTCTGTCGAGCAATAGAAATTCAAAATTGAGGTTTTTATACATTTGGCCTCTATGTATGATAAGCTCCATATTTTGAAAAAATTATTTTTCCAAAATAAATTTTGTTCCATCAGCTTTTTTAAATTCTATTTCAGCGGTCATAACATTCGCAATAGAAAGAAAATAGTTGTCGAGTCCCTTTTCTCGAAATATATTGTAAAGCACTTGCGTTGTTTTTTCAATTTCACAGTAGAGTTAATCTTTATTCGTATCTAATGAATTGTTAAAAACGTGTTTTGCTTAATCTTATAACGTAAAGCTACTGGGAGGGGTAACAAATAATATTATTTCTTTTTTCTAAAATGGTATTATTTTTATTAAGATAAGATTGAACTCGGTTATTCGACTGAAATATAATTTACACGGAATGCAAGTATTTATTAAACATAAAGTATGACAGAAAAGAAAGAAATATATTTTTTGGTTTGTTTAAAAGTAAAGAACAGTCAGTGCATTTTATGCTAACCTCCAATTCTTGGTTTTTGACATCCTCCCCTCCAAGGGAATGGCCAGTTGTAGAAGACACTACAAGATCTTGTCCCCGTATTTGAAATGGACAATTCTCACAACTCCGTCTCACCCAAGTATTAGTTTGAGAACAAGAGCAGTTTTCCACATTTGGAGAAGACGAAGCTCTTTCTGGAGAAGTAATACATTATCCTCTTTTATCTTAGGTAGCTTTCTTGCGTTTCGAACTTTCTGATATAGAATACAGAACCATAAGCTCGTTCAGAAGCATCACAAAATATATGTAAAGAATCATCAAAGTTTGCAGATGTTTCAATCCTTCTTGTTATGTGTATATCGTTTAAGCAGTGTAATTTTGATGACCATGCATGCCATTGCTTAGCGATACCTGGCGGTAAAATTTCGTCCCCGTGAGCCATGTGTCTTGGAATATAATCCTCCTAATGACTGATAGTGGAGCAAACATTCCTGAAGGATCATAAAACTTTGGTGTTGATATCAAGATCAGACATTTTGTATCAGGTTTTTGGCTTAGGTCCGAAAATTCTTATTTGATTTCTTTTTGAAATGTATTTTCTTCAGTGCTCCCGTTGACGCCTAGAATTTGACAATCATTGACAAAAATGGTTTTCTTGTATCCATTTCCTTTTCAAAGGTTGCGATTTAGTAACCTATTTTGATAATGGAAAACTATTGAAGGACGTTAAATCTGTCATCTATTGGTAAAGAGTGATGTCGTTAGGTCAACTCACGCAATGGGGTTGTTGTAGTTAATTTACGTCGCACTAGAGCTGCACAATGGGCTATTGGTGACGGTCTGGGAAACATCCATGACGATGATCCGAAGACGTGCCATCACAATTTTGGTCCTCTGCAGAGGAGATGGCACTCCCGCTTCGGTAGCCCGACGACCTGCAAGCGAAGTCGAGCACTTTACGGTAGCACAGTTTAACGAGGACCAATACCGCACACCCTCGGTCCCTACGCAGACTGATCCAAGTGGTCACCCACCCGCACACTGACCGTAGCCAGTGATGCTTGACTTCGGTGATCTGCTGGGAACCGTGTCTTAACGATCAGTCCACTGCGGGACACACCCTGGGTCCTACGCAGACTAATCCAAGTGGTCACCCACCCGCACACTGACCGCAGCCAGTGATGCTTGACTTCGGTGATCTGCTGGGAACCGTATCATGCAATGTGGCAAAATCATCTTTTAAACTATTAATGCCAGTTGAAAAACTTGTATTATTTATTACTTCTGGTAGTTTTTCGTCTCCGTTTGAGTTGCAACATCTTGTCTACCATTTCAGTGGGCGTCGTCATTTTTCATAGTGAGTAAAACCTTCGGTTAAAAAAAACAAATATTCCGTAAACAAGCAGAGTTTACAGTCAGGGTCCCCTCTCATTTTTGGTTATTTACAAATAAACGAATATATATGTAAATAAATTAAGAACCTATCCACCATAAAAGGGTATCAGACACCATACATTAAGGTCGTACTTGGTAATTAGGCTGTAATATAGAAATTAAGACGGAACATATGTGTTTATTAAACAAAAAGAAAGAACGAATGCATTTTCAGTTTATCGGGTAAAAAACCTTCAGTTTTGAATTTTATGCATAATTTCGTAGAGTTAATAAATAACGATTTATTGATTTTGCACTTTTTTTCACTCGCATCGAACTTACTTACTTCTGCCAATATATTTGCCTTTCACCGAAATGGGCAGAGAAGATGTGGAGGAAAATTCAAAGCACTAATTTGTCCCAAGAATTCTCGGTCGGATTCAGGTCTGTCGAGCTGAATGGTCAATATGACTGTGCCAATGACTTCCTACTCTAAAAAATTCTCGGTAAGATGAGGTTTATGTGGCCACACACTGTCATTCATAAAAATAAAATCATAATCAACTGACACCCCCCCCCAACAAAAAATACTGCTCCAAAAAACATATATCTTCACTCAAAAAAGTAGCACTAATCCTTTCAATGACATCGGAAAGAGTCACATAACCTCCAAAATAAAGTCTTCCCAGACCATCAAACTTTAGCTTCAACAATAATTGATTTCTCGGATACGGGAGGGTAGGTTCTCTCTCCATATGAATGTACAATGCGCAAAAAAAAAGAAATCATTGGGCAAAAAGAAAAAAAAGAATAGGCCTAGTACTCAATTAAATGGATCAAGGGGCGACCTCAAATATGCTAATTAGTTAGTACAGACGATACTTTAACTTACGATATCAGACACAAAAACATACGTTCGCTGAATAAAGATACCGTTTTTTCGACGGATTATGATTCATAAAGCCTAAAATATAGAGGGTAGCAGCAATTTAGGAAATATGTTTGTGCTAGTGCCAATAGTTTGGTCAGAAGAGGGGACGAAAGTTTGAACCCCTTAAATGTTGATGTTACTCTATAACTGGATAAATTAAGTAAATTAATGAA